CACTGCCACTCTCCGCCCCGGCTCCCTGCAGAAGGGGGGACATCCCCCCCCCTCCCCCCTCCCCCGCCCCCCGAGGTGCATCTATCCACGTGCCAGCCCACCTCTCGCTCGCTCGCCCGCTGGTCCGCGCGTCTCTTCTGCCCCTCCCTCGGCCGGGCTTTGCCGGTGGATAAAGACCACTTGACACAGGGACACACGGGCGGCCTCCGTCCATCCCGGGGCAGTCGCCTGTACAAAGGAGTCCCCCCGCCCCCCCCACGCCCCCCCCCGGCCCGTCCCAGTGCCAAGAACAACCCCGCGTTCGGGTTCCCTGCGCCCCAGCGAAGGGCGCCCGAGCCGTCAGCCCCCTCCAGACACAAAAGTCCAAAGACCCACGAGCACATCCCCGGCGTCGAGGCAGGGACAGGACGGCCCCGGTCGCACACTCGCGGGGAGGACTGCCTTCCCGTGGGAAGGGGCCCCTTTTCCGCACACAAGGCGGACAAGGGGAGAGCAGGAGATCACATCCCCAAAGAAATATCCAACACCCGGCAAGACACCTCCCAACTCGGCAAAAGGCCAGCCCCACATACATGGTCGTCCTTTGAGATGCGCGGAAGCCCCGGGCCTCCTGCCAAAAGACAAGAAACAGATTAGCAGCCGACCACCACACGCCGGCCCATGTGTGCCAGCCAATAGGCCCATCCGAGAGTTCATCATATATCGGGTTTTTATTTTTTGTCCTTTTGATGGTTTGCGGAATATCTTTCAACCCTGCCTCAAGTCTGAGCAACCCTAGGCCCGAGAAGGATCACGCGCAGATCACGCACACAGCGGCCCTTTTGTCTCGAAACGATCGTTTTTCAAGCGTGCCTCGAAACAACCTGCCGGGGATCGCGCCCTGTGTCCCCACAGCCGAGATCTCCCAAGGCGGCTGCCCGCACTCTCCCCCAGGAGCGATCTGCGACCGCCTCCCCTCTGCGCACCCCCCGACTATCTCCTCAAATCTCTCCCCCTCTCTCTCTCCCTTCCTCTTTCCCTCCCTCCATCCCTGTGCCTTTCTCCTGGCACACATGTCTGACCCGCCCCGCCCAACGGTTGGGCACGATTTCCCCCCACGACCTCCACTCATTGCCGGTCCTCCTGTCCCTTCCCTCAATGGGCTCCCGCCACCTCCGGTTGCCAGCTCCAGCACCCCGGACGATGGGATAGCAGATGCTGCAGCGGACATCGCAGCCACCACCGCAGCCATCCGGCAGAGCCTTTCCACCTGGGCCGATGTCTCCATCGAGCGGGAGCATGAGCTCACACGCCAATGGCGTTTGTGGTTTGACCAGTGTCTTGGTGCGCCCATCTCCCTGCCGGACTCAGATCCCTCTCACCCGCCCTCCCCCCATCCTGCCCTGCATCCTGGCTGGTCGATTTTGCCCACACTGACTCGCTCGAATTCCCGCCACGTCCATCAGAGTCTATTTACGAGCAGGAGGAAAATATTCGCTCTCAGCTGCTCGCCAGAGGTACCTCGCCACGCCTCCCGGCGACCCATCCAGTCAGCGTGGTCCCCTTTGCCTGTTCCCCGCTTTCCAGCCCTCACCCTCTCCTCCTTCCCCCATGTCCACATCTCCAGAGGTAGGCCACCAACCGAACCCCTCCGAGCTGCAGGCAGTGGTCCTCGAGAAGGAGGCCATGCTTTCTCAGCTCGAGAGAAGGAGCGGGGAGTTGCATCGCCAGGTTGAGCTGCTCGCGTCGCAACTTGCGTCCGAGCGCAAGGGTACACGCCCATCTTGGCCCTCCTTTGGCTGGCATATGTGTGTGTGTGTGTGTGTGTTTGGTTCCTGTGTGGTCGCTAACTTTCTCGCTCCATGAATCAGACCAGGAGTCTCGGCTGCGAAATGCCTCTCAGCTACGTCGACAGCAGCGCGCCACGCTCCACCGGATGTCCAAACATCTTGGTCTCAAGGTCAAAGGCACAGGTGCGTGGTTTTGGATTGTCTGTCCCACACAAGCCTCTCACTCGCTCCCTCCCTCCCTCTCCCTCTCCCTCTCTCTCTCTCTCTCTCTCTCTCCATCTGCCTCCCATGCCTACAGCTGACCGTTGTTGTCGCAAGCAGCTTCATCGCTTTCTTTCTACTTCACCTGCATCGAGCGAAATTGCCCGGACAAGGAATACAAGATCGCAATTCGTGTTACAAAGGAGAGGCAATACGAAGGTTCGTTTCTCCGCCGCTCGCATCATCCTGCCTCCCCCCCCCCCTGTCACTAAAGCCTTTGATTTGTCCCTCCCCTCGCCCATCTACCCCCGGGTTCCGGGCACATGTAGTTCTGGCCAGCACGCCACGCTTGAATCCAAGTTTCCTTGGCCAGCAGCTTCGGCTCCTGAATGCAACCAACGATTTTGGGACCTTCATCCGAGCTGTGCGGCAGGAATTCCGCCGCATGGCACCGGGGTAGGCGCCGGGCTATCCCTCGAATACATAGGCATACCACTGTGGTTGATATTATTTGGGATCTATTTCATGCGTCCGGCGCATAGGGGCACATGGTCGATGTGCGCCGAGTGCGATGTGCCTTCACATGGGCTTACATCATGTCGTAATCGTCCAGCTGCGTGCCAATTGTGAAGATGAAAAACATCACAGGCGGGAGGGGAGGGGAATTATTCCTGTCAGTCCTGTGCACAGGATGGGGCATTGGCCCTTTCTCGGGTCCAGCTCTTGTCGGTTACATACCTTCTCATTGTACTCCATGACGCGCTTGCGGATCTTCGACGAGTCAACCCAGGTGATGAAGTCCTCCATGGACCTAGGTACCAGGGGGGTTGGTAGTGCAGAGGGAGGCGGGGGCGGGGAGGAAGGGATGGCCGAGAGTTAGACATACAGAGGAAGAGGGGGAAGGCAAGGTGCAGCAGAGAAAGAGATGGAAGCGGTAGCAGATGCCAAATGGGTGTGTGCCATGTACCGAGTGACGAGAAAAGCCGGATCCGTGATGACCTCAGTGCCGACACGGACATCTGCGGAGGGGCGAAAGTGGCATGTTAGGTGGCATGGGAGTAGCAGGAGGAGACCCGGGAGAAAGGAGGCCGGATGCCACAGCACAGGGAGGCAACGTACGGCCCTGCTCAATGAGCGCGGTGGCATCGCGCACACTGTCACCCATCTTCAGCTGGCTAACCATGATTACCGGGAGGCGGCGCCGGCAAAAGGCCGACACAGTCACCTTCCGCGCCTCGGTGAAATCCGGCTTGGCGATCACACCCAGGCGGTACAGCTTGTCAGCCATCCGCTGCGAGGCCTTCGAGCGGTAATCCCCGGCGGCGATCGGCAGATCGGTGATGCGCGACGTGATGGCAGTGATCTCACCAACGATCTTGTTGTACCTGTGTGTGTGTGTGGGGGGGG